CCATTAGCTCTGGGTAACCTCTATTAATGTACAGCCATGTGAAAAGCAGTGCCATGCCGGAAAGCCCTCTTCGGAGTCTGGCCCTCTTCTCTTCCACTTGTTAATATACTGGTTCTTCCTCTCCGGCCCCCAGATATTCTGTGACTCACTCCCTTATTCCACTTACGTTTTTGTCCAAATGCCACTTTGGTGAGGCATTTCTCAATCCTGTTCTTTAAAGTGGCAACATCCTGCCATCATCCTACCAAGTCCCCTTCCTTACTCCTCATTTCATCTCCATATTCATTGCTCCTTGACATTCAGCTCCCATTAGCTGTTTGTTTCTTAGTAATCCCTCTCTTCCTGACACAGTGTAAGTCCTCTGGGGACAACATTTCACATTTGTTTTGTGCATTTATTTGTTTGTAACCATATACTTCAGGGTCTAGAGTAATGCCTGGTGTACAGAGGACACTGAGTGAATAGCTGGATGACAGACAGAGATGAACCCATCAGTGTGATAGCTCTCCTGGCTTCCAGTGTGCGATCAGCTGTGGTTTCTTTGTAAGCAGTGCTGAACTGATGAGCATTGGGATGGTTTTTGCTATATTGCATCAAGTTGAAGATTCAAAGTGTGCTTTGTTGCATGCTTTTTTTGTCACTTTGTCTCAGGACAAACTATCAAATGTGGTTATCCCTTAATTAAAGCCTACACATATGATTGACGATTTGATACCCTTTGCTATGTTTCTTTTTTTCAGTGCTAGTAGGATCACACAGGGCTCTTTACACGTTTGTGAATATTGTGTTTCATCTATATTTTTTAAATTACATATATGATGTTCCCAGTTAATGGATAGAAGTCATAAAAATTCATATATTGATGCCTAATGTGAAATTTTGATATATTCATATGTGAGATAAGAGCAAAACAGGATAATTAGCATATCTGTTGCCTCAGACATTTTTTTCATTAGTGATTTTAACCTTAGTGTTTCCTTAAAAGTAACATGGTCTGCTAGAGTTATTAAGTACAGCCAGAAGTAGTAATTTGTTTAGTTAAGTAGAAGAAAATGAAGGTAAAAGAAGGATAGAAGATTCGTTTTTCTAGTATCTTGCCATGTATGTCTAAGAGTCTAAATGTAAGGAATTTCAGCCAGTGCCACGTATCTCCTTACTCACAGAAGGAGCTGGTTCACCGCAGAGGTATGGTTTTCTCTCCATGAGGGTGAAGACAGACAACCAGCTGTGCCGTGATTTGCCTTGAGAGTGAGCACCCCCCTTTACAGTTCTCAAAAGAGTTGTGTCCTGAGAGAACAGAAATCCCCACACGGCTTTTTCAGGACTCCGTGAGGGCTTCTTCCTTCTGGGGGTCAGTGGATGTGCTTAGCTGTTGTGCAGACTTCCCATTCCTCCCCTGTTCACGTAGCTGCATTTCAGGGGCCACGCCACCACACTTAATAAGCCTTGCAGGATCTGTTGTGTTCCGTGCTTGGAGTTGGGGAGAATGCTTCAAGCAACTAGTGTCCACTCTGACCTAGAAACGAGAGACTGTATTCAACAAGCGATTCCAGAAAGCACTGCCGAAGATACTTCTTTCTGGCACTGAGATCCATGAAGCACAGCGGTCCACACAGGGAGCTGAGGACAGAGGAGCACAAATTCAAGCCCAGATATGGATAGCATGTTACAAAGAAGGGTGTGGGAGTGGGGAAGACTGAGATACTCATTGGAATATCTGGATCTATGAGTTCGCAGCCTACCCTTGTCAGAGAAAAGACAAAGAAGAGCATGCAAAAGCTCTCCTGGAGAAAGCCACACCTTCATATTTGTAGTCTTAAACTACAAGAGGAGTCTGTAGGGTGAGAAGACGGATAGAGTGATTTCTTGAATGAGAAAGCTTGGCCTGTCATGTCTCTTGGCCTGTCATGTCTCAGCACTTTCCCGTGGCTTTAAAAGCACTGCTCAGCTAAACATTTGGTAGTGACCTGGGCTCTGCATCTCAGTTCACATGCTCACCAGTTCATGCTGCCCACGAGCTCTCTCCCTGCACTCTCTGATGTTGCGCCAGTGCCACTGTGGCATTCACAGGGGCTTCTTGTCTGCTTGAGGAGCATGGGAGACAAGCCGGAAATATAAACTCAGCAGTCCTCTGAGAGCAAAGGACAAGGAGCTAGGCGTTCCTTCTCCCAGTCTGAAGCAAAAGGAACAATATGCGTAACTGCAGCAGCGACGAATGGAAAGTTGGTCCTCTGTTTTCCTGCCACTATGCTCTTTAGTTGTACAGTTCAGCCTGTTAAAGGCAACTTATCATTTCTACTCTCTGAGAAAATCACCACCAAGTTTCTCTGGGACGATGCACAATTTTGTAGGTTTATCACACTGGTAGCGTTGAGTATGCTTGTCCATGGGGTGTTTGTCTATACATCAGAATTATGACATATAGATGATTCCAAAGCCTTGTCCAGGTTCTTCCTTCCAGTTACTGCAGCTAGTACCCCCCTCCCACCGGTGCTATTCTCCCCTCAGGAGCATTTCCCTGCCCAATACCCACCCCCCGCCCCTCAAAGTGCATTTCCATACTAGTATGACATTTACCCATTGTATATATAATTCTAAAATGCGAGTCCTAGTACAGAATGAAATAACCAAACTTTGATGGTTGGACTTCCCAAAGTGAGGCCCTGGTTGTAGTTAGTAGTTGATGGTTAAGAGGGTGGCAGCTGGGTTTTTAAAAACTGTCACAATCTTGCTTAGAATTAGTATCTTTGCTGTTTTCACATTATTTTGTTAAACAACGTAGTTTTTCTTGCCCGTTAATCCTCGTGGTGTTGCCGCCAGCCTATGCACCTCTATATTTATGTTCTTATAGAGAAACAGGGTAAAGGAGAATGTGCTTAGAAGAGACCTCAGAGACAGAGACTTGTACCTTGATTTTTAACATGAATTTTTGTGACGTTTTGGTTTATTCATATGCCTTTGTAGGCCTTTCATTCTCTCTTTATAATAGGGATTCCAGGAGCTCAGCCAGTTTTGATAATATCTGATGGTCTGATAACTCGGAATGCCACACAGCATCTGGTGAATTACATGGTGTGTACACATTCTGCTTTAAAGAAGTTGGAAGAAGACAGGCCCAGAGAGAAGGCTAGAACAGAAACTTAGCTTCGGAACAATAACCTAGTCCTGGCTTCTTTGCTTAAAACCTTGTGAATATTTTTCTCTTTCTTTCTGATTGAAGGTAGAAGAGGACTTTTTTGTCGTTCATTTTCCTTAACAGATAATCAAATCCATGTGAGATAGTTTGGGCATCCATAGGGTTAGGTGGCTTTCTTGGAGATTCCAGTATGTAGACCAAGGATGGTGGAGTTGCTAGAGCTTTTTTAGTTATAACTCTAAAATGCTTAGGATAGAGCATATTTGCATAATTGTTCATCCAAAGGGAGTGACAGAAGCAATCCTTTAAGTGGTGGGAGCTTTTGAACCTTTCTAATCCTGGGGTGCTTACACAGGAATAGAAGGTCCTTTGTAGCGTGCAGTGAAACTTGATGCATGATCCAAGACCTAATGCCACTTGGGTTACCTGAGTTCCTTAGAAACCCAAATCATTGGTCCTTGCACAGAGCTGCTCAGCTCAGTGTCTATGGGGGTGCTACCCAAAGCTTTGCGTTCTACATCACCTCTCAGAGATCTTGATGAACTGTGAAGTTTGAACAGCATTTTCAAAGAGCATTGTTTCATGACTGGGAGGGAGATCAGCTGCCGAAGGACAGCCTGGTAAACGGAATGGCTCCAGGGACAGTGTCCTTGGCTGCTGAGTGTGACAGGGATTAGGCGTGGCAGCTGGTAGTGATTCCTCCCAGTGTAGCAGTTAAAGGTAGTGGGCACCAGGTGTTTCCGAGCCAGTCAGCACACCCCCTTCAAAGGATGCCTCTTTCCATTCCTAGACTTTCTTTCCGCGCAGATACCCAAGTTGTATCAATTGTGATATTACCCCAAAGTGACTAATTTGATCATGGAGATTACTTCCTATAGCTAGCTCATTGCTGACAAGCTGAAATGCAAGGAGCAGCCACTCACATGTAAAGAGTATGTCTAAATGAAGCATCAAGGCTGCTTTTCTTTTAAAGGAAGAACAAAAATGCTTTTTAAAATACTGGGAAAATGTGCGGTTTTCTAATTAAATTTATTTTAAAATAATTTTAAATAAGTTATAGCGTAGCCATAGAGCCTTGGATGTTTGCCTTCGATATCAGCATACACATGCCATCATTGCACATGCGTTCTTGTTGGCTGAAGATGTTGGGAGCCTCTGCAGCCTAAGCCTTCATATTTCTTGACCATGTTGTACTCAAAGATCTGTATCATCTGTGTTCATTCAAGTGTTCTCTCATTTGTTCTGTTGTCATTAATTAGCACAATAAAAACTTAACTCCTCCCTGCATGTGGGTCACATTTACTTGTTTACCACCTAGCCAGTTTTTCTTCCCCCCAGTGTTATTCGAGGTCCTGTGCTGTTGCTGTGCTATAGTTGATTTTATTCAACGTGGCTTATATGTGGAGGCTCTCCTGCCTTGCTGCCTGGGGTGGGCTTGTTCTCTTAGTCATGCTGTTCAAGTTAACTTTCAAAAGTTTTTCCTCCTCATAAACTGAATTTTTTGTTACCCTTACATATATACAAGCCTTTTCTTCCTCTGCTCGATCAGGATCTTTTACATGCCAGTTATCAATTTAATTCAATTTAATTCACTATCCCTAATTCCTCTCCCAAAAAACCCCTTGTCTTTGCTTAGTGTACTTGGCCCCTCTAGACTGACTCTGAAATATGAAACCTAGCCTTTTATCTAATGAAAGCTAAGGCTATTAATTAAACCAAAGTTATCTACGTAAGGGACACTTTCTACATACGGCAAATAAACGGGTTTAAAATGATTACAATAAATTGCCAACAAATGTATCTTTTAAAGAGCACTGTAAACCCACATGCCTGTTAACTTTTCGTGTGTATTTCCTTTGTGTAGGTGATTTTCTTCCACCCCCACCTCCATCATTAGATGATCCTGGTACCATTCCTCCGGGCTCTGGACACTTCCCTCCTCCTCCACCACTAGATGATGGTGCTTTCAAGGTTCAGGTAAGAGCAATGATAGAATCCAGGTTTATAATCAGGCGGGGATGCCTGTGAGTGGTTTCTATGGTTTGCAAGCACTTACCCAGAGAACACAGCAAGCTTTGCAACCTGCAAAGACTCTACTTTAATGCAAACTGCCCAAGTCACCCTTGTCAGAGTTCTGCTGGTTTATACTCCGAAGCCCTGGAAAAAGCTTACATATCAATTTCACTTTAAAACCAAAGGTGATTTTTTTTCAGAAATATTGTTTGAGAAATCTACATTTTTTTTAGCATAAAGCCAACCCTTTTAAAAGTATCTTTTCTACCTACTCTTGAGGTTTATATTCTATATGAGTAATAGTAATATTTAAGGCTCTCTTTGTTCAGTGTGGGCCCTGAATGGAGAGCATCACTGTTTTCACTAAAGCAATAGTAAGGATGTTATTAATAGACATTTACTGAAGGTAACAGTCAGGGACTTGTAGAGAAACACTTATTTTCATATAAGATAGAAGAACATCTGATGTTTGCTTATCTTCAGTAAAGAGTCAGAAACTCGTGAAACTTGCATACAATTTTCAGTGTCCCATAAGGAATGTGATTGAGGAGAAGATGTTAGGAAGAACTATTAGGGTCTAACAGTTAGGGTCTTTTTTTTTTATATTTAGGTTGGGAGAACAGAGCAGAAATTATTCAGTTATTTCCCAAATAGTCCTTGTTCTGATATAGATACTATTTGAGTGCTGGAAATCCTATGACACAGAAGGCAATCATACTTTCATGCCAAGGAACTTCCAAGCATATAGAGCCCAATCATTGTGCATATGGCTGAGCTATGTGCCAGGAAGCAGGCGCAGGGTGGCTTTGAAGACTGACTTAGTGAGTGAAGCCTCGTCAGGACAGTCCACGAAACAAAGGTTCAAAGGAGAAAAGATGCTATGAGCCAGCTGGATTCTAGGGGCATATATTTTCATGAAGTTTGGTCATCTTTTAGTATTTTTTGTCTGCTTTTATATACCTTTTTTTTCTGTTGTGGTGCTCCATTATATATTGATTAATGGGCATGATTTTAAAATTCTCTTCTGTTTTCTTTCCTGGATTGCTATTAAACTTGTTGTGGTATATTTTAAATATTTGCTGCACCAAGGATTGGCAGAACGTCTGGAGCTTGAAAAGTAGTTGAGAAATATATTCTAAATTAGTGATTGTGAGCAGATCACACTGAATGCTGGTTGACCTCGAAATTAAAGAGAAAGTAACCACATGTCCTTAAAAACCTCATAAGGTACTGATGATATGTCTAAAGCTGCTAATTGAGATAGCTAGATGGTATGTTGATATTCCTGCTGATATCATGTAAGGAAAATAATAGCAATGATAATGATAAGATTATCATTGATACTATGTGAAGCTGAAAATGATAAAGTTATCATAGATACTATGTGCAGCTACTAATCACAATAACAATAGAGTTTTGTCTGTGGATTTCCTTTAAAAATCATCCAACCCCTGAACACAGTGTTTCAACACTAATTGCTGCTTGCTTTAGTTTGACGGATGTTGCACAGTTTTCATTGTGAGCATCTTTTGCATCATTTAAAAACTGTATTTTAATTTCTTTACGTTTCTGTAGCTACTATGAATGTGATTTCTTTCTGGATTGTTTTTTCAGAGAGTTGGTTTTTAACATAAATAAACCACTTACCTTTATATGTTAATTTCATATCATGCAATTTTACAGAATTTATGTATTAATTCAATAGCAGTTTCTACAGTTTTAGAGTCTTGTATGTGTGTGATTACTTTGTCTAAAACCAGGGACAATTCCTCTTTCTTCTTTCCAGTTTGGACCCCTTTTAAATCTTTGTCCTGCCTAATTACCCGGCTAGGACTTCCAGTACTGTGCTGAATAGAATCAGGGAAAGTGGCACCCTTGTCCTGTTCATGGGGCTTTCATGAAAATTACAAAAAAAAAAAAATCTCTTTCTCTGTGGACTTTGTTCTGATAAATGTACTCAAGCCATGGCTTTGTTTTTGAAGAGGAAGGAAATAAACAAGAAGCCTGTTGCCATGTTGGCTTATATTCTTTGTAAAACAGAAGGGAGGATGATAAAAAAAAATAAAATAAAGCGGTGTTTGCCAAATGGAAAAGGACAAATCTGGTAGGGAGAGAGTGTTGTTTTTGAAGCTCTTCAAATGACATTCTTGGTAACTTAAAAATGATGCTTTGTCCTTCTCTTGGGCATTGGTGAGTTTGGCGTGACAGTGACTGACCCTGCCCTGGCCCTGCAGCCACACATGTGGCTAGAGCTCAGTGTAGCAGGAACAGTGTTTTCTCCGGGGATGATTTTGCTCTTTTTCCTCTCAACTCCGGTAAAGCCGCATGTTGCCAATTCCAACTCCTAGCTGGTAACTGTGTGTTTTATGTAGAAGTCTGTTTATGTTTCCAGCCAGATTTTCAGCTCAGAGCCAGAAGACTGTCTACCAAGTGTGACTGCTGCAAGGCTGAAAGGGACCACCTCCATGGTCATCGAATCCACTCAGGCGCCTGATTTCTAGATATAGCACCTGCTGAAGGAATTAATTCCCATCCCTTTTTGGAAATGGGGAGACTGAGACCCAAAGAGGTGTCTGAGAACCACAGTGGTTCTGACAGAACTCTCATCAGGAAGTCTTCCCTCCTGGCTGAAAAGTCTTTTTTTTTTTTTTTTTTTTTTTTTTTTTGTCCCCACAGTTGATTGTTCTGTATCTCTGTCAGCTTGTTCTTAGCCCCCTGTCCTGCTGTGAGGCTCTAGGATACAGAGTAGGGGCATCTGTAGGATACAGAGTTGCATCTATTATGAACAGTTGCTCCTGGAGTTTTGCTCTGCTCTTTACATCTTTGATATATGCTACATAAATTTCCACACAAAAGCAAATAAATATTTAGTGCAAAGGATTATTCTTGTGTTGAGATTTTCTCTTTTTATGGGAAAGATGAATTTGAACACGAATGGGAGATTTGGTTTGATACATTTTTTTTTTCCAGAATCAGTTTAACTTTTATGCCTGTAAACTTCGTACTGGCCCCTTGACATTCCCTTTATTCATTTGTTCTTTACTCGTTATGAATGAAATGAATATCCTCAGTAAGTAGACACATTGTGCTACAGGGACTTAGCCTTAGGACTTGGCTTTCTCAGTCTGGCCATCTGAGTATCAAACCTTGGAACCATCACATCACTTTGCTCTGATTCGATGTCACAGTTTGTAATTTGTCTTTTCAGTCAACCATGATCAGTCACACAGCATTGGTTATCACTTTTAGATATCACAGAATATCTTTTTTAAGGTCTTTTGAAATATAATTTAAAAGGCTTTATTTTCCAGGGAACTGGACATCATACTTTATAGGGCTTTCTCAATAGGGCTTATTTCATTCATCATTCATTCATTCATTCATTCATTCATTCATTCATTCATTTTTATATTCATTCATTTGTTTTTACATCTTAACTGCAGTTTCCTCTTCCTCCTCTCCTCCCAGTGCCTTCCTCCCACTTCCCCTCCCCTACCTTCCACTCCTCCGCAGTTTCTCTTTAAAAATGGCAGGCCTCCCATGGACATCAACCAGCCATGGCATATCAAGTTGTAGTGAGTCAAGGCACCTCCTCTCGTAATAAGCCTGGGTGAGGCAACCCAGTAAGGGTCCTATAAACAAGCAACAGAGTCAGAGACAGCCCCTGATCTCACTGTTAGCAGTCCCACACGAAGACTAAGCTACACAACAGTAGCATGTGCAGAGGGCCTAGGGCAGTCCCGTGCGGGCTCACTAGTTGGTGGTTCAGTCTCTGGTAGACCCAGTGAGCCCAGGTTGTTCATTCTGGGAGTTTTCTTGTGGTGTCCTTGAGCCCTCTGGCTCCTCCAGTCCTTCCTTGCCTTCTTCCACAGTGTTTTTGCTTTCCTAATGTAAGAAAAAGCTTATAGATATAGTGAGGCAATGATAAAGGAAAAGGAGATAGATGAGATGTAAAACACACACACATGCATGCACACATTCAAGAGCACATACACACACACATAAAACAACAACAACACACACACACACAGGAGCACATACCACAAGGAGGGTACAAACCACATGCAGATTGTTGATTGACAGGCCTCCCAAGCTCCTTGGGGACTTACCTGTCCCTCTGTATGACACTGTGGCTTGATCTTTTCATGACCTCCGGTAGGCCACCTTTGACTAAGCCTGGTTTGTGGTCTGACCCTGCAACCTGCTTTCCTTGTCCGCTGTGCAGCCTGCCTTCCTTGCCCACTGTGCAGCCTTGGCAACCCCCTGGTTGTATTTTGTCTGATTGTATTTACTCAGGCCTGTTGGTTTCATGTGCTTGAGAGGTCGTCTTCCTGCCTCAAAATATGCTTTGGTCCAGAACTGTTTCATTGCTTAAAATTTTCATATTCAAGTACGGTGTTTCCTTTTAACATTTATTATTAGTGCCTTTCTTCCTGTACTTCTGAATAATAGTACACGAAGGAACAATTGGGGCTGGAGAGAGAGAGAGAGTTGCAGTGTCCCACAAAGAGCTGATCAGCCAGGCTGTGGAAAGAGTCTGGCATTTCTAAGGATAAATCGCAGCATCATGAACTATGCTCAGAATTAGCCAAAAGGAAGTCCCCTGCCCAATTCATGCCTTAAAGTCAGATTACAACACCTTTAAACTCACTTCTTTTTATAAGGAATTTAAAGCCAGTGTAGGTGTATGATGGCTGATAATCACTTTTCTATCTCCCCTTTTTACCTGATTTTGGACCTCAGGTCCACAACCAAGCCCACTTTCATTGGTCAATAGAAATTGACCTCTGGTTTGGGTCACAGTTTGAATAGATCTTATCACAGAGGTTGCCTTTGCCTATGCCCGTGTGTATGATGAGGGAAGAGGACAGTGTTGTAGAAGCAGATCTAGGCTACTGAGCCTGAGACAGTGATAGTGGGAATCTTTTTTTTTTTTTTAATTTTATGTGCATTAGCGTGAGGGT